CCCCATTTTCAGAAACCCCCATATCCGTGTTTGAGTTTGGATTAATTTTTCGGGGTTTCAGATTTGTGGGCATGGGGCTATAGAACTTAAGGTTCAGTGTTGGGGCGGGGGCCTAGGTTACACGAAAGCCCCATCCCTCAAATTCTAAATCGCAAGATTGCGAATCCTGAACCCTAAAACCCGCAAGCCCCTCCCTTCCATAAGGACCAAGCCAGCTATGATAATATAAAGGACTTAATAATTAGAATAGGGTTTTGGGGGGCCCTTTATACTATAAATAAATCAAGAAACCCAAAAATAGTACTGGTAATCATTTAGGCCCCTACATTACTCTTAGTCTTGAACAGAGCCTCGTTTTTTCAGATGTTCGCTCAGGCTTCTTCCCTGCAGCCTGCTTTGGCGCTGCAAGCTCTGGAGCCATTGAAACGAAGGACTTCACACGCTAGTGCGGGTTTTGGTTTTGAAAGGACAAGAAGGGGTGTGTGTCTTCTAGTATTGAGCTTGTGTAGCGGAAGGAGTGATTTATGATGAGTCTACGCTAGATACCAGCCAGTAGCCCGAAGAAGTCCCACTCGTCAGTTGCAAAGGAAGCCCCAAAGCAGCACACGAACACGGGGGGTATTCCTGGAGAGCTAGGGCAGGGCCTTCGGGATTGAGGGCTTAGGGTGGCGGGGTCTAGACAAGCCGCAGCCACCGAGATTCCAGCCGTCCTCTGAGATCACACTCTCCGAGGTATATATCGAACAAAATCTGGGGAAAGACACACGGTATGTATGATTCTCCTCGATGTGGCCCCAAACCAAAACTCCAAAACCTACGCATGTCATGCATCGTGGCCTGGGACGTACAGTGGGGATTTCATGCTCGAAGCATAGCAGGGAACCTTAAGAACTACGATGTCTAATTACTTATAGGCCCCTTGGCCCATGCAACCCCAGACAGACCATCCATGCGGTGAAATGTACCCGGATCGGTGGTGCTTGTAGGGTTTAGGATTCGTGGGTCAGGGTTTGGGGATCAGGGTAGGGTTTAGGGTTTAGGGTTTAGGGTTTAGGGTTTAGGGTTTAGGGTTTAGGGATCAGGGTAGGGTTCTTAAAGTTATGGTAAATATGTGGAGTCTGGGAGTTAGCTGGGGGGGGGCGTGGGGGCGGCTAGGCAAACCTCAGAAGGGGGGTATGGGCTTTGGGGTGCTGAAGTTGTTGCAGGACTCTGTCTGTCGCACCCCACGAAACCCCGGAGGTCCATGTCCCCACCATACAGTATATATACTTAAGTCTTAAGAGAACTTATAGATTCATTAAGGCCAAATCCTCCCTTTAGGTTCGTGGAGCCTGAGGGAAAGGGTTCTCAGAGGAAATGCTCATTGGAACTTGCTTCGCTGTCTCGAACTTTGCGGACAGATCCATCGTACCTGGGCTTGGGGTTGCCCTAAACCCTAAACGCTGAACCGTAAACCCTAAACCCATTTTTTGGAACCAAGGTTGGGGGTTGGGGTTTAGGTTTACGGCTTAAGGGTTAGGGTTTAGGGTTTAGGGTTTAGGGTTTAGGGTTTAGGGTGATATGTTTAAGGTTTACTGCTCTGGCTCAGCGCCTCCTGCAACGACCTCGTCCCTAAACTGCAACGCCTCAACCCTAAACCCTAAACCCTCAACAGTGAAGCCCCAAACCATCCTCTAAACCGCCCTAAACCCGCCAGGACCCTCCTTAGCTGTAGGGGTCTTACTAAATAGAATAGGGTTTAGGGTTTAGGGTTTAGGGTATAGTTCTGGTATATTCCTGATTATGGGTAATGCAGGATTTATATCATCAACCGTATTGAGTCATTAAGAACCCAAAAAGTTTAAAGGTTGGGTATTGGGGAACTCAGCCTCCACCAAAAAGTGGGCTGCTGCAGAGCCTTGGTAAGTGCAATTAGGTCTAGGCGTTTAGGGTTTAGGGCCGTTGGGAAGCACCTAAACTTTAACATGTCTTACCTCAAGATCCCCCCTGAAACATGTAGGTTTCGATGGGTACATGCTTAGGCACGGGATTCTTCTGTTTTCGGATTTTTTGGGAGGCTCAGGGTATTCAGGAAACAGCTTCGACGGTCAACATCTCCGGAAACGACGGAATTTAGGGCTCCCTGCAATTTCAAAGAACGCCTACTTACTGAGTCCCTTGGGCAAGTTTTCCGAGGATATCTTCTCTTCTGTTCTGCCTAGTCACCAGCGTGCGGCCCGCAGCAACACAGCGCAGAAGGGATGCAGCGTCCTTCAAGGGGCTGCTCCAGGATGGAGTTGGGTAACAGGAGGAGTTTGAGGAAGTTTGAAATGGTTTAGGGATTAGGGTTTAGGGTTTAGGGTTTAGCTCCAGGATTGAGTTGGGTAACAGGAGGAGTTTAGGGAAGTTTGAAATTCAGGTGGCTCAGGGGGTCTATGGGCGTTTAGGGTTTATAGCGGTTTTGTGGGGCTCTCACGTGCCTCTATGGGGCTATCTACTAGTCCCCCTCCCTTGACAAGGACAGGAGGCAGTGTTTTAGGCAGGGATGCCTGTTATAAGTTATATGCGTTGGTGCTTGCTCCTGTTCTTACCATCATGAATATGACTGCGAACCTTGTTGCTACTAGACTATATCACAGCATGTTCACGTGTGCGCGGCTGCTACGGCGCTACGGAAAGCAGGTAGGAATGAATCATCAAAATATGATACCCGCCCCTATTCCCCAACCTACACCCTAAACTCTGAACCGCATACTAATCTGCTGAAGCAACACATGGACGACCACACGGTACACGCCGTGCGGACCACAGTAACCTATGTCATAAACCGTCACATCCTCTACCAAGGCTAAACACTACTAGGGCATTAAGGGCTTCCACGAACCAACATTCACCTAGATGTCAAGGCCTCGCAGTACAGGGTTTTATGGAAATGCCCCCCATAAACCATAAACACCGGCATGATTGGGGGGTTGTGGACCCCTACTTACATAAGCCCTTAAGATAGGGGCCTTTATGCCGAGAATCGGCTGTGTTTTGTGTGTGTTGCAGCATAACTTTAAGGGCCAAAAGGGGATCTGGTTGCAAACGCGACAGCTGGTTGACAAGGCGCTTGTCGCAGTTCTCAGGAACTCTAACTCCTAAACCCTACCTTAAACCCTAAACTCCTGACGCAGAAACTCAAACCCCTGAACCCTAAACTCTATAACCCCTAAACCCTGAACTCTTGAAGCTCTAGCCCCAGAACCCTAAACTCTAAACCCTAAGCCCGAACCCCTGAACCCTAAACTCCTGTCACAGTTCTCGGAGAAGAGGAGCGCGGCTGCGGCGAAGACCTCTTCCACGCAGAAACCCGACCTTCACGGCCCGAAGGGTCCAACGTGAATGGACAAAGGGGCTTCTACGGTTTAGGGTTTACGGTCTAAGGTTATAGGGTTTATGGTTTAGGGTTTAAGATTATAGGGTTTAGGGTTTAGGGTTTAAGATTATAGGGTTTAGGGTTTAGGGTTTAAGATTATAGGGTTTAGGGTTTAGGGTTTAAGATTATAGGGTTTAGGGCCTTTAGGGTTTAGGGTTAAGGGCCTTTAGGGTTTAGGGTTTAGGACTTAGGGCCTTTAGGGTTTAGGGTTTAGGGCTTATAGGGCCTTTAGGGTTTAGGGTTTAGGATTTAGGGCTTTTGGGGTTTGGGATTTAGAGATTATCAAGCTTGTGGCTATCCATATCAAAAAGGCCTGGGCAGCTATAATGCATCACGCCGCATGTCAGGACGGCTCTTGCAAACTCAGTGCTGTGGTCCACGAAGGCATTTTCTACAAGCTTCTCCCCGACCTCCACAGACATGCCATCCACGTACTGCAGAGTGTCATCCTCCAGCCAGAAATACCGCAAAGATCCATCGTACTCTTCAGACCTTTTGGGAAACGACTTGGCCCTCTCCAGCCACTCCTTGGCCTGTGTTTCTTTGTTCCTTGAGAACAGTGCTGACTTGGAATCCACATGGGCAAGGAAGCAGTAGGCACTGAGGATTCTGGTTTTCAAGTCCCTCTTGTCCCCAACCAGTTCCTCGTACTTGTCGCTGGGCATCACTTTTAGGATTTAGGGTTCAGGGTTTGGGGTTCTAAACTAAGGGCTACCAGAAGGAAAATTGAAGAGTTCTCTGTGTAAAGGGTTACTACAAGAATTCCACAATAAGGGCTCTATAACAAGGGCTCTAGACATATAATCCCTTCCCCCTATTATTAAAGGGCCCCCCCCCCTCCCCCCCCCTCCCTAATATTAAAA